ACGAATCCAGTTCAGATCAATTAGAATCGACTTTTTTGCAAATAAATTGAACCGAGTTTGGATAGAAATTAACTGAAATTAGCTTGAACGTAAATTAGTTTAAATGAATTTCTGGAGTGTTTAATATATTTTTTTTGAGAGCGTTTAACGAGGAGGAAAACATAATCCTAAAATATAAAAGATCCAACCAGGGATAGAGCATACTATAGCCGAAGATCGAATCGGTCAGCACCAGTGCTCGACTCCGTTGCATTTGAAAAGCAATCATGAACCACTCAAGACGGCTTGCTTTGAACAATTCGCCATCGTTGACAGTGGGATCATATCGTTGGCCTTTATTCAGAAACTCGACAGAAATGCGACCGAATGATTAACAGATTTCGAAGAGAGAGTCATCTCGCAATGAGGAGACATCCAGTGCATCATTCCATAGACGAACACCTGTGAGCAAATCGTTTTCAATGAGATATTGATCACATCTTTTTTCTATTTCCGATCTCTTTCTCTAAGAGTGGTTGTAGCGGGTGAGGCAGAATGAATAGCAGTGTCAGTATTTTCTCAATATCTTTCAGTTTTCATAGTTTCGGACGGATTTTTTTCAAAAGATTCAGCGCTCAATTCTCTATGAAGCCATATACACCAAGGATGTCATAAGCGTAAAAGAAAAGAATTATATAAGTAATACTGCGAACATGCAACATCAACAGCTGTCGAACGTTTTTATGCGAATTGATTTTCGTTTCAAAAAGAACATTTCAGCTAAAAGCATCTACAGATGATCCTGTTTGTAGACAACTGGTCCGCATCTCGCATACTTGAGCTTTCTGCTGGAACCCAGTCGACAGGAAATGACATTTTATCTGAACGAAGATAGACTTTCATGACATAACTCAGTAACTTTTAAGGAGAAAAATTATGCTAAAAGAGATTTTTGGCTGAATTGCATGAATTTTTCAAGTACATGAAAACCTACTGTAAAAACAACGCGTTTTTTTGGGAATCTTGAAAACTTAACACTTTTTAAATGCTATAGAGCAGTGTTGTAGAAATTATTAAACATACTAATAAGATAGAGCCTTTGAAGCTCTACAAAATGCATAGTTTAATTTTTCCAAATATGTCCATATAGCTCGACACGAGAACTCATCGATACCAGAGAACTGTACTTTGTTCTGGAAAGTTGCTGATGTTGCATGTTCTCTTTCTTTTTCACGAAGAATAGACGTATAGCCTTTTTCACTCTTTTTTCATCTATGAGCTAGTTGTCCTTTTTTCTTGCTGACTGTCTAGTGTTTCATGTCTAGTTCACTAAAACGTAATATTTCGAGCGGATCTTCATCTGGATCTCCACCTACTACCAAGATGCCGAAAGGAAATGATGAATTACCAATGGCTATTACTCAATCGATCATGGACAGTCCTGAACTTCGCAAACAGCTGATTTCTCTTCTTCTTCCTCCGTCTACTGCTGTGACAGCAACAACAACGACAAATAGTCGCATGGACAGTGAAGAATAGAAAGAAAAAGAAAAAGATAACAAACTCGACGATCTCTTGATGGCACGAGCTAACGAAATTGGTAATTTACTTGCCTCTACAGTTGGAAAAATTCTATCTGAACGTGTCGATAAATTAGAAAATCGATTAGAAGCAGTAGAGAATGAACTCGAAGTCGCTCGTCGTTATTCGCGCTCATTCAATATACGTGTCTATGGTATTCCAGATTCTCCAAACGAAACTCCGGCTCAAACTCAAGTTAAACTTAAAGAATTGTTTGTTACACATTTGCGTCTAAATTTAAACCATGGAATTGAGTTTAGCCATAGACTACCTTCGTCCATTAAAGATAAACCACGTCCTATCATCGCTCGTTTTTATTCACGGCTTGAACGACAACAAGTATTCTCATCACTTGGTAAATTGAAAGGGAAAGATTTGGCTATATACAAGCGTGAACGTGCTGATCTTAAGAGTGATGGTACCAAGCGAGTGATTTCTCGACAACGGAAGATATTCATTCAAGATGTTAATGTTCGAAGTCTTCGACTGGTGTCAAAGTAAAGGAGAAGTTGTTATATGTTTATTAATTAATGATGTTTCTTTTTTCTCTTGCTCGTTCGTTTATTTCTCTTCTATTCATTTAATCAAGAACCTTTTTCTGTTCTACTTTGTTTCTGTTGACAGTCAGCATCGAATCAAACATGAGCTCATTTTCTAATTTTCGCTTCCCATCCTTTTCCCGTCCCTTTCTTATTTTTGATTAATTTTTGTGCGTTTTGGCAGGCAGGCAGATAGATCGAAGCTTTCCCTACAAACCTATCTAAACATCTCCGAAAACCGGCTGCCAGGAGTATATCTCACGGTCGGTCTGCAGTTACCCCGAA